TGGGCTGGGGAGATAACTCAGAGGTCTCAGTGCCTCCCTGGCAAGCACAAGGACCCAGCCCTGAAACCAGGCATGGTGGTGCACACCCGTAATCCCAGCGCTGGGGAGGCTGAGAGAAGAGGACCACTATGAGTCTAAGCTGCATAGGGAGACCCTCTACCAAATAAGTAAATTTTAAAAAAAGAAATGAAAAAGCTGAAATCACAAAGGTACTTGTGAATCAAAAAGATTATTTAAAAACTACTTTAAAAATCTATATTCCAGTAAATTAGAAAATTCAAAGAAATGGACAAATCCCTAGATACATATCAATAAACAAAATTGAGCCAGGAACATTTAAAAATCCAAAATAATTAACAGTCACTGAAATTAAAGCAGTAATAAAAAATACACCAACTAAAGAAAAGCCTAGGTCTGGACTGATTGATTCACTGCTGAATTCTACAAAAGGGAAGATCTAACACCAATACTCCTCAAACTCCTTAATGAAATTGAAAAGCAAACAGTACTCTCAACGTCATTCCTGGAAACTAGCATCACCTTGATTCCAAATATAGACAAGGAGGGCCAGCCAGATAGCTCAGCGGATTAAAGTGCCTGCTTAGGCAGACACAAGGAGGAGGTTCAATCCCAGGAGTGCTGAGATGGCAACTGAAACTGAGTGTGGTGGCACACACTTATAATCCCAGTGCTTGGGAGACTGAAACAGAAGGATCACTACAAGTATGATCTGTGTAGTGAGACTCTGTAGAGCCTGTACTAAATTCATGAAAAAAATAAACAAATATAGATAAGGATCCAAAGAAGCAGAGAATGACAGACCAAATTTTAATAAATGTAATCAAAAATCCTCAACACAACACCAATACACAGAACGCAACAACTCATCAAAAAGATCATACAGCATGACTAAGTAGGCTTCATCCCAGGGATTCAAGGATGGTTCCAAATTCTTAAATCAGTAACATAATTCCCCTCTCCCAGGTGACAGCAGGTGAGCAGCTGTGGTGCTATGAGGTCTGTGAGCACTAGCAAGTTGCCCCGAGGATGTAGAGTGGCTGTGCCGCATCTGACGGTGCTTGGGTAGGGTAAAGAGCAGGGGCAGTAGTTGGGGGTGGCAGAAGGAGGTGGCAGATCACTTATAAATGGCATCCAAGCAGGACCCAAAGCTCAAGTTCTAGGAGGGTAAACAAGTACTTGTGCTTTCATGGGCCTCTTCTTTATGAAGCAAAGTGTGTAAAGGTTGCCATAAAAGACAAACAAGTAAAATACTTTATACACTACAGTGGTTGGAATAAAAACTGGGGTGCATGGGTTCCAAAGAGCAGAGTACTCAAGACACCAATCTGCAGAAACAGCATAAACTTAAAAAGGCCAATCAGGAGCAACATGCAGAGGAAAAAATTTAGAGGGGCTGCTCCAGGAAAGAAGACATCCGGTCTGCAACAGAAAAATGTTGAAGTGAAAACCAAAAAGAACAACAAAAAATCCCTGGTAATGAAGGTGGTGGCAGTACCAGCAAGACACCTCAGCCTCCTCGGAAGAAGCAAGCCTGGATTGATCTTTCTGTTGAAAATGAATAAACATTTATGAACAGAGTTGAAGTTAAAGTAAAGATCCCTTAAGAGCCAAAACCATGGCTTGTTGATGACTAGGATCTAATCACCAGATGGAAACAGCTCTTTTACCTTCCTGCCAAGAAGACTATGAATTCCATTCTAGAGGACTATGCAAATTATAAGAAATCTGGAGGAAACGCAGACAATCAGGAGTATGATGTTGATGAGGCTGCAGCAGGGATAAAAGAATTCTTCAGGGCTGGTGAGATGGCTCAGTGGTCTAAAGCACCTACTTAGAACAAGCTTAGCAAAGCACAGGGACCACGGTTCAATCCCCCAGCACCAC